CAGTCCACAGCCGGTGTGTGGGGAGTGGCAGGGTCTGGCTTGCCTCCCGGTGGGACCTCGGCCGTGGCCTTCAGGCGGGGACGTGGCGTTGGTGTTTTCACAATGAGCTCTGTTGGGGGAAAAACCCAGGAAAGCATGAGTCTGTCACTCTACGGACACTGCTTAAAGACAGCCATACAAAACCAGCGCTGATTTTTGACTTATTTAACTCGTTTCTTGGAATTTGCTTACTTGATCCCATTGAGAAGCGACAACGCTCCTGGTGAGCCAATATTTCCTCAGCAAAAAATGTCGTCTGCTTTTAGTTAGCGGAGAGGACTGCAGGGCTCAATGCCAACAAGTAAGCCTCTCCTAAGTAGGAAGCTCCATGCAGTTTATTGGCAAAACCTCAGCTGGGCCATTAAAGGGTGGGCGCTGGAGTTTCAGGGTCAGAAGAGGAGTTCCCCACCATACCCTTCTCCCCTGCTGAAAGCATTTTAAAGACAAGCCCTATTTCTGCACTATTTCTGCTCTTCTCTTCGTTACTAATGACTGGATCATTACCAGAGTGAGCCGCCAGCCTCCCCACTGGGCCAGATGCTTTATTCAAGGAACTGAAATCAGGAACATTCAAAATCAATTCTCTCTGGCAAGTGGAATGTGGAAAAGGAACAGAGTTGCCAGGACAACACATAAAACGGGTTTTGGGGTTGGGTTTTTTCTTCCTTATGAAAAAAAAAAAAAGAAAAGAGCCTTGAACTCTAAGGAGCTGAAAAATTTTTGCTGTCACAGTTTCCAGGCATTACTGGACTTGCTTATTCACATGTGCTCTATTTTTAGTTTAAAAATAAGTTTTGTCTCGTCAGAAGGAAGCAATTCAGAATTACTCTGAATAACAATCTACTGAGCTGGGATGGTGTCACACACATTTGCAAAGACACGATGGACTTTTTGAATTGTATCCTAGATGTATCCATTCTCATTCACCATTTGTTCTGTAGTACGAGGATGGAGAAAACTATGACTATTTGTGCTTAATATCTATTGTCCCCAAAAGACAAACCCTTGCGGTGGTCTGGTTTTTCCAAATAATGCTCCTTGGAGAGGAATTGTATTTGTGGTGTGAAAATACTTCCCTTCTTTGGAAGCTGAGGTTCTGAAGGTCAGAAACAAATGTGAAAGACTTACCTGTGCACACTTCAGTTGCCAGAGCCTGATCTGGCAAAGCACTTAAAAATCCTGAAACTCATATAATGATATGTAGGACTGCATGAAAGCTAATGGTCACCTGGGAGTGCTTTTCACCCCACTGAATCAAATTATTATATATTACTCTTCGTCAAGCTATTTATTAAATACACTTCCAAGAAATGCACTCATCCAGCTAATGCAAGCCACATGCCTTGGTGATTCTGTTACATTCACGCTAAACACTAACCAAAACAGCAAAATATTTACAGACAGACATCCTGTTTGCATGCTTCTGAATCAAAATCTTCACACTTGGTTTTCACCTATGCATTAATTTCATTCTTGAGACATTTGGCAGAATTTCTCCCACTATTTCTAAGTTTTATTTTATGATTAAAAATACTTGTAAACAAACCCAAAATATTTAGTTATATGTGTAGTTTAAAAATCTGAACTTTGGATTTGCATAGAGAACAATGCATAAGCAGAAAGAAAGACAAAGCTGGCTGAACACGAACTAAGTTACTAATGTTTGGAAACTGCGTGCACAGCTTGCAAAAGAGAATGTTTCTGCAGACGTGCTGAGTGCTCAGGCATGTCAACAGTTAATAATTAGCCTTAGATCTTGTTCCACCTTAAAGACTCAATCTTGCAAGGTGCTGAGTGCCCTCATTCCTCCCTGAAATCAAAGTTGTAGGAACAGTCAATGATTCAAATGCAGTGTAATATGATGAATGTAATTAAAAATTACAGCATTCCAAAATTAGAGTTCCTATAGTAATACTAGCTTCACTACAAAGTTGTTAAGAGTACTAGGTACTTACATGTGTAAACAAAATGCACAGAGGAAAAGAAAGGTGATGGTGCCTAATCTAATTTTGATATCCTAATAGCATGTTTAGGGTTTTGCATTTAACACAAATACTACTTGGCTTGCTGCAGACTCAGCTACATTGTTGACTGCTCCAGCTTTAGCAGTACAATACTTCACTCAGTATGAAGCAATCAAAAAGCCCTGGAGGGTTTGCATAAGCCAGAAGTTCACCTGAATGGCTGATCACACTGATTCTTTTGGGAGCTCTTCTCATCCCATATTCTCTCACTTAGAGCTAACAATGACTCAGCCCTCATCTTGCTCAATGAGCTATTTCCCAGCCCTTCAGCCATCATATCCTTCAGCTCCTGAAGTGCTTCTCACTACCTGAAGGCACTGCAAAAAATCACTTATCGCTGAAAAGCACCATCGAGCACAGGATCTCAGTTACAGGGAAACCAGTCTGGTGGTAATGAAACAGGTATGATGTACCACGGAACAGGGAAAATGCACAGGGGCAGAAACTACAGAGAAGATTTCATGTAGCCATCAGAGGGGAAATACCTTATGCCTTATTTGAAACAACTCTTCAGATCCAAAACAGCTGGTAAGAATTAATTCATTCTGAAGAGTGAAGTTCTGGGTGGTCTCCAGGCATACAGAGATAGCGTAAGCCTGTAGTTTGTACTTTCCGCCAGCTAACGTGCACCAATAACAAACAGCAACCGGGACACTTACTTTCCTTTGGCACAAACCGGATGAGCTTGCTTTTTACTTTCACTGGCGATGGCTCAACTTGGCATTTTCCTGGCGGTGCTCTCCTGTGAAAAAAGGGACACATACAGTGCACAATTAATTCCTTTCCCCTGGCATTGTGAGCCTTTGCTTCCCATTATTCTTCAATGAATGCAATGCTCATCAGAAAAAAACCAAACATCTGTTTAAATGATCCAAGTAATCTCTCACAGTAGAAAATGTAATTAAACAATCACGTCTCTCCATTGATCAAAGTCCAAATATTCACAAGGCAGTGGAGTCCTCTGGCTCAGTTTTCACTTGCCATTACTGAATTCAAGAAATGAATCAAACTGAAAATAAAATCAAAAAATTAGACAGTACATGTTGAACATCTGACATAAAGGTCTTGTGTATGCAAGTTTTCAGGCTGTCTTCAGAGAAGCAAAATAACACACTATTGTTTGTATGTAATGCCCTAACAAAAGACTACTACAAAAGTAGTACCATAAATGCATTACTTTCAAACAGGAGTTTTAAGTGTCCCCTATAGAGGCTTCCTCTTAGCATGATGCATTATTTTAACACAAATTTGTTTGCCATGGAGGTATATCTCACTTCTGAGAAGCCACATCCTGTTCATCATCACTTTTTCCTATGCTGGCTGGCTCGTTAATCTGTAGCTTTCTTCAGAGGTTTTCAAACTGGTTCAAAAATGCACAATGTTTGCATTTGGAAGGTAAAACTCCTTTGTAATTAGGACTGTTTGCATTTGCATTTATGTGGAAGGCAAAGAGCTCCCCTCTCAACTACTGCCACAGGGATGTTCCCTATTTTTATTAATTTTCCTATGATTTCTTTCTTATTCATATTGCTGTACTCAACACACTAAAGAAACGTCTTTTTAAACTTAAACTAATGCCTTTCTTTTCACTTCTGCTTTCTTTATTTTTGCAAAGGTTGTGTAATACCAGCCTCTTCATAAACAGTTCCACTGTGTTAGATAATGGAAAATGCTCCTGACAGAGGAGGGTCAGAGGAAAACATGCGGCAGCTCTGGGGGCTGTTTAACTTTGGGCTCTGGTTCCAACATAAAACAGAAAAGCGGTTTGGTTCAAAATGCTCTGATAACTAAAGCTCTAAATTTTATCCATTTAAAAAACAATAAAAGCTACAAAAGTCTCAGTCTACATGTCTGGCTGAAAGCAGTTTGGTGTTTAGCCAATAATAGTAACACTTAAAAAACAGGAAGATGGAAAAAACAGCTATAAGTCTTCCCATAAAACACAGCTATTCCCTGCCTTGCCCAGTCTCAGATAGATGCATGTGGGATCCAGAAGGTGTAACAATGGTCTTATTTCCTTGTCCAAGCCATTTTCCTCTTTAAAACACAAAAAAATAATGTACTTTTTGACATTAATTTCTGGTTTGCCCAAAAAAGCACTGCAGGTCACACTGGGTTAGCCTGGGCACAGCAGATACAGCCAGCTACAAGGGATGGAGAGGAGCTGAGAATAAACACCTTGAGAAAAACTGCCTCCTTCTGGGCAGGAATCTAAAGAAACTTTGCCTGAGAAAGCCAAGCCACCCATAAAATAGTCCTTTATCTTTCAGGAACAAATCTTCCAAGCCACCTAACACCAACAGGCCCCATAACAGACAAGCTGGTGGTCAACAGGCAGCGTAGACTCTGGTGACTGTGGGAGCAAAGCAAACCCACAACGGGTTGCTCCAGCCGTTCCTTGATCAAGCTCCACTGAAGGGCCCAGCATGGGAGAAGAGCTAGTCAGTCAGTCATTCATCACATCCACACCTGGGCATGCTGCACCACCCTTAGGCTTTGCAACACAAACATTTCATACCTAGAGGTGTCCACCACTTTGTACACCACTCCATGGGCAGCCGTGGCGCTTGGTACGCCGGTAGACATGAAGTAAAGTTCCCCTGGGAAAAAAAAAACAAACACTGACATGAAAACTCTCCATGGAGCTTCTGTCCTGTCCAGCACAAAGGCGTTAACTCTGCATTACAGGTCAGAGAGCATCAGAAAACGCCTGACCGACATGCAGATTGGGCTCCTGGAGGAAAAAAGGCAGGTTTTTATTTGGGTTTGTAAGGAGCATTCATCTGCAGTCCAGTGACATAAAATACTCTTAGTGCATGGGAGCTTTTACATATTGTCATGAAATATTATTTGGACAAATTTTCACTGCAGGTTCAGCTGCCCAGACTTTAGCTGTCATCTCAGTCTGATCTCTGTTCTTTAACTTCACTAATGCAAAACAATCAAACCCTTAATTCCCTTTGTTGAAATGAAATGAAAGGAAATTAAGACTGTTCACACTGTCTTCTGCGCTTTTGGATGAAGCACTCCCTTGGTGTGAATTACAGAACAAGATTTTGCTTTTGTTTTCTCTAGCACACCCACAAAGTGAGAAGTATCTCATGAGAAAGGCATCTGGGTTCCTCACAGCTCTGTGAGGTCACACGGGCAGGGCTCAGCCTTCAGCCAAGCGCTGTCCACCATCATTTATTTGACTGTTGTTTCTCTTCATTTCCATCCTTCTCTTTCTGTCGTTCAGGGGAGGCTGGGATAAGCAGCCCCTCAGCACTCTCCTTTCTCCTTTGCCAGCTCAAATGCTTGAGTGGTGCAATGAAGAGGATCAGAGAGCTGATCTGGATGAAAAAATAAATTTGCAATATTTCAAAAAAGAAAATAAAGGAAGAAAAAGAGGCAACAGAGACCTTTTTAGTAAGTAAGGCAGATTTATTTGGGAGTCCTATGGGTACCCCAAGGGGAAGAGGGGAGAGTGGAGGGGTCAGAGTGAGCCAAGGAAGATGTGGGCAGCTGGTGGCAGCTCTTGCTGGCTGATGAGCCTCCCCCCTCCTCCCTGCTCTCCTGTGCTACCCTGGCTGAGCTCCTCCGGATGCTCCCAGGGCAGAAACCAGCCATCCCAGGCCACCCCTGGCTGTTTTTTTCCTTTTTCTGCTGGGTTCCATTAACCATTAGGCCAGAGGCAGCCTGGATCCAAACAGGATGTGAAACACCTGGCACTGCATCTTGCAGTGTAGTGATGTGTGCTCCACATCCCACCTCTCTTTCCTGGAAATTATCAGGCAGAAATATGGGTGCACTAGCCATGAAGCACGCAGGCTATATCACTCGTGCTCCCCACAGACATAGCACAGTGCCTGGGGTGTCCCCAGCATGTTCAGCTGCCAAGGGACAGGGCTGCTGGCTTTATAATTACTGTGCAATGAGCCAAAAATATAGGTGTCCCCACTGCATGAACACACTCACTGCACCAGCTGGATTAACATTCCTCAGAGCAACAACCCCAAAACCAAAACGCTTCCATGAAGAAAAGCTTGTTAAAATAAACTGTGTGATAAACTTGTAAAAAAACAGATTCCCAGCACACCAGAAAGGTGCAAGAGAAGACTGTTCACTGCAGATAAAGAAAACTCACTAAACTGTTATCAAGAGTTTTCTTTCCATTATAATAAAGAAAACACAAGACAAATAATACCTCTGAGAACAGACTCCAGCCCAAACTCCCACCCAGCTCTATTATACTTACACAAAGTACTGATGAAAAGCACAAGGCGGAGACAGGCGGCAGCGTTTCACCCCCCTTTGCACAGACTCTGCCCACAGGTGCAGGAGGATGGAGATGCCACTTCCCAGGTGCATGAACAAGGGCTGCAGTTAGCAGCTTGACACTGCACTTGGCAGCCCTCTGCCTTGTCATAAAACTGATTTAAACAAATTTTTTCTGATTTTAGGGTAATATATCTTTCTTGCCACAGCACTGCAAAGCAGCTCTACCTTCCATGAATGTTAACCATTAAAGAAAAAGAAAATGGATTTTAACACAAAAAAGCTAAAATTCCAAAGACAAACTTTTGAGCTAATACTTCATTTGGATGATTTGCATTTACATGCTAAAATTTGCATTTATATAATATGTGACACAATCAGCGGGAAAAGCAGACATTTAAAAACTGGGGCACTCTGAAAGTGGGTGCTTGTGACCATGAACTGGGACCTCCCCAAAATGGGACAGAACACAAACTCCTGCATTTCTGAGTTGCACATGAGGCTACTTAGCAATGGGGCTAAACATTGCGTGGGTCATCCTATCCCCAGCCCCAGCTAGGAGCTGCATGCTCTGCCTGCCCCACTGCAGGCTGGGCAATTAACCATACCCCTGAATAAGCAAAGGTAGTGACCACCAGCTTTCACGCCAGGACTCTTTATTTCCTCCTTTTCAAATCGCAGCAGCTCCCTTCCAGAAAGCAAAATGTCTTCAGTCTTAAAAACACAGCTGAAAACACACAGTCTCCACTGAAACTGCATCCTCCAATCCTATGAGAGGCAAAATCCCCAGCTGGCACTAATATAATATAGACTTAAGCAGCCTTTTGCTGATGCCTCACTCAAGACATAACACCGAGCTTTCATCCTGCATCACCTCGAGAGGTTCAAATATTCCAGGCCAGGGTGGTTCATAATTACTGTTCATTACATCTGCTTCCCTGTACCCATTAATGATGCGAACAGCCTTCTTGACTAGCCAAGAGCACAGACTTGCTCTCACATGGGTATCAGCTTCCCAGCCTCCCAGGGCTTGCATTCCCCACGGCATGGCACCGTGAAGCGTGAGGTTTGTTGTCTCAGCTGTGCTGTACCATATCTGCCCCACGCTGTTCCTGTCCCTGGAGAGGGCAGGTGCGCAGGCACCAGCACACCCAGACTCAGTCCTGCAGCGAACTGCCTCTCCCTTTCTCCCTGCGGGCACTGCATGGCACACTGGCCTCAAAATTAGGATTGTAATTTTGGTTTGATATCTGGGAGATGCTGGGCATCTCACCCATTGGCATTTTAAAGACTGACAGACTCATGCTCTGCCTCCCCACTGTCTGCTGCCTCCCAGGAGCCCTCTCTGCCCCCTCTCTGCTGTTTTACTCCACAGAGAAACCACGAGCATGCCATTCACTTTGACATAAAGTTAAAAGATTACCTGCTTCGTCTTCAGCAAAGGAGATGATATATTGGTAATAGTTATTTATAAGCCCAGGGAACATGCATGTTTGTCCCGTCCCCATGCAGATTTCACTGTACTGCCACTCTCCAGTAGTGTGATCCTCCTTCAAAGACATCAGGCGCCTGCAAGGCAAAAGAACACTTCCACAACACAACCAAGAAGACAATTGCTGAACATTAATGAGGACACCTGAAAGGATGTTTAATGCCTCCTACCCACATTAGCTGCAATAGGAACTGCAGCTCCTCTGAAAAACGAAGGATTGTTAACATTAAAACAAATATATGCCCCCACAACACCTTGTCTTTCAAGGGCAACACAAGCACATGAAAAAACAATAGGGGAGAGTTTAATGGATATCAGATTATTTGGGGAGGACCCTGCCAGAGACTCTGAGTGCCTGGCATCACTGCAGCTCTGTGTTCCCTCCTGCACCCAGGACCGGGGCAGGCAGTGTCGGGGCTGCGTGCAAGAGGCCTGGCAGATGCAGATACAGGAAAGGCAGGGGATGTGGGGAGAAAATAAGGCAGTCTCAGGCCTGTCTCATCACAGGTTTGGAGCAGACTCACTGACAGATAATATTTTTTTTTCTTTCAATACCTTCATTGTCTGGAAGCATTGCATCAGAGTTTTGGTTTGGAATTTTTTTTTTTTAGGATGTATTCAAGTGCTTTTTTACACCACTTCCAGGACTTCAAATGAACATTATACCATTGCCCCTTTATTTGTACTGGCATGATGTGAATAGCAATATCAAGGGCT